CCGCCTAAACTTCGGCCGTGGTGGCGTTTGCCATGCCAATCAAGACTACACACAGTTCTGACATATCAACAAACACCAATACCACCACCGTCAGCACCAGTGACGAGGACCGGGTCTATACCTATCCTCATTGCGGCCGCATCTTCGTCTCACACATCGGCTTCGTCGGCCACTTGCGAATCCATCGCACGGAGACTGGCGAACCAGTACCTGGAGCACCAACCTACACCTCTCGCATCCACCACCACTGCCCACGCACATAAACGCATCGCATGGACCTATTAGGCCACGTGCATATCCACGGGGACGACATTGACTGCAGCGCCGAAACACCTAGCACATCCAGCACACCCGCCATGCCTAGACCCTCCCTCGCCCGCCGCCCTGCGCGCCCACAGCCACCAACTCCATCACACTCAGCACATCTTGCACACTCACCATGCTTAGCTCGACTCACACCCTGTAGCCCAGCGCGCCCACCACCACCACCACCAGTTCCACCACCAACATCACCAAATCTGATAATGACACCGCCGAATTCTCATGTCCACACTGTCTCCCTACATTCACCTCGCGCATCGGCCTGGTCGGTCACTTGCGAATCCATCACACAGAGACTGGCGAACCAATGCCTGGAACACCAACCTACACTCGCCACATCCGCCTCCACTGTCCACATTGCACTCGCACATTCATTCACCGCATGGGTCTATTATGGTACATGCAAGTCCACGAAAACTTGCGGTAGCCAACTGCCGGCTGAACCACACCACCACATCTTCACTCACCAGCACCTCACCGCACATCAATATCACCCACCGCAGGCACCCAACTGCCACCTCCCACGCAAGTGGGAAGTTAGCGTCTCGGCCCCTTCACCATGCGGCATGTGTGTTCGGAATCTGAGTTGCAGACGGTGCGTCGAGGGCCATGCCTCGGAAGGTAGCCGACTGACGCCCTAACTCAGTCCGTTCAATCTGCCCAGTTGTGTGTGTGTGTGTTGTGTGGTGGCAGACCGGTGGGCTGAGAGCCAGGCTGTCACGGACCCTTCTCAAGCGGTCTGCGACACTCTCATGTATGTGAGGCGTCTGTGTGCACTTTATGCATAGTGCCTCTCAGTCAACGACTGTTTGGTTACCATGACCTTGAAGAGTGACGGTCTAGGCTAAGTGTAGGGCCACCTGTCGCCCTTCTAAGTTAAAAGGTCTGTAGACCTGTTCTGCGCTAGCATCAGTAAACCATGGCCGTTACAGCCTGGTAAACGCTAGCAGTCCCCTGACACCTGGTTCCCTGACTGTAGATGTATTTGCGCTCCCGCTGGGTATACAGGTGACGGGCATGGCTGCCCAGTCATGCTTGTCCTTCTGACCCCTGCTGGGGTTTTATTGTTATTGTTGGTGAAGAATGTCGGTCAAATGTATGTTGTGGGCCTGGGGATGTGGTGGCACGCTTAGGTGCGGGTCCGGCCGTGCCAGCCACCTGCGCCCTCGCTGGCTCCGGCCTTCTTGACTCTGTGTTGACGCCGGGTCCTGGTGGGCAGTATGGGAAAAGAGAGTGCGGCAGATGCTGCTCAAGTCCACTATCACAATAAACCAACTCACGCACAAGTCGCCGTGCCTGTT